TAAAATTTAAAAAAACAAAAACAATCCTCACAATCTCTTATCACTAGTACTTGTGGGACAGAGAAAGCTAAAAGACTTAGAAATGAATTGTATGAGTTTATTGGCAAATATCATTTATGTATCTTGGCAACAGTGGTAAGGTACAGACACCCATATTGCCTGGAAATATATTTTATCATATACTGAAATGCACCATTAATGAAGCATTTACACTGATCACTTGTGTCCAAAGTTGGTGGGCCCTTACATTGTGTTTTCTTCTTGAATTCTGAATTCTACACTTGTATTTTAACTCCTGGAGGATAAGGCTTATGAGTTCTTTTAAGTCAGAAGGATTTCTAAACCTTATTTTTTTGCCTCCAAATATTGATTGCAAAGTGGACATAAGAATTTAATTTAATGAGCTGGGCCTGGTGGTACAGACAGGCTTCTAATCTCAATACTTAGGGGCTGAGAGAAGGAGGATTGTCCTACGTTTGAATACAGTTTGGCCTTATAGTGAGACTTTGCTTAAAAAAAAACAAAGAAAAATAATTTAATTTCATGAATGTTTTGTACACACTCCCAGTACTGGGATAATAGCAATGTGGGGACCAAGAGCCAAGTATCTGGGTATGCAGCCTGATGTTCTAGGTAGAACGGAGCTACTCAAGTTTCCTTTCCTGTTTTTCTAAAGTGGAAGAAGGTGTGCAAGCATACAGAGCGCACTGCGTTGATAAAGCACATCAAGGATCTTTAGACATGTGGCCTTTGGACTGATATATACATTTAGTGCCTGAGAAACAATGCTCTAGTTAATGTATGATTTTAAGACAATAGCTGCCAGAAAATCCTGACCCTTGGGCTTTCCTGTCTCCCCAGTTCTTATCATTTGTAATTAAATAGTTCTAATCTCTATAATTCCTTGGAGCACTCTTGATTTTCTCATGGTTTCTCTTGCTTTTTTGTTGTAGTTTTCTCCTGGCAAAGTGGAACAGAATATTGTCCATGCAGAATGGGCACTTGTGAGCATCTGGGCTCAGGGGGTATGATAGGCTGGCAGGTGGTATTAGGGAGCTCTCAGGTTCTTCTGCCTTTGGTCATTTTCATCTCCTTGGACTGGGTCTTATAAGTTCTCCATATGGGAGCATTTGGCAGAGAGCCTCACAGTAGGCTGAACAAATGTTTGTTCATTCCTATGCTCACTGGTTCACTGCCACTTGCTCTTAAGCCAATTAGTTTGGACGAGAAAGCGAACTACAGTTGCCCCTGCTCTATTTGCCCCCACTACCCTGCCCCCACCCCTGCCAAGTTTGTTTTTCATCTCATTTTTTATTTCAACTTCCTTTGAGCAACTGTCTCTGCCCTTTGAACTGTGTTGCAGATGTTTCCTCCGAAGGAGGTGTAGAGGGCTGTGAAGCAGTGAGGGGTGCCCAGCACTGCTGAAGCTTGCATTTTGTGGTATCCAGGATGTACAGGGAAAATAGTACTCCAGACAAGAGGGAAAAGCCTGTGCAGAGACACCAAGGCTCTTGCTCAATGCCACACATCCTATGTACAACAGCAGAAAGGAAGTCTTGCCTGAATCAGTAGGGAACACAGTCAGTGACTCTGCTCTTGGTTATTTATTATTTTGTCACATTTTCTTGAGTCTGATTATTTCATTTGAGAAGAAGATATTTCCATTCAAGTTTTTTTTTTTCACAGAATGCATACTAGAAAATAAAGTATCATTTTCAAATTCTTTAGTCCTCTCCCCAATTTCCTCAGTACCTGGCATGGTCTATCAGTCTTCTTCCTTCCCTGTCCTTCACTTTCACGATATTTATGACTTTATTTTTCAAAACTAGAAGGACTTAGTACACCTTGCAGATAGGAATCTGCTTTTATAATGGCCTAAGTAGATTAGAGTTTTATCACATAAATTCTGTTCTTTGCTCCTCGTTTGTTCTTCTTAGATAAGACATGAACTAGAACATCAGGGACAGATATTTCCTTCAGCAGTCATGACATTTTGGTTCTTATAAATTACCCTAGCTGTGATAATTAAAAATGTCCTGAAGTCTGACATGGTGGTTCATGCCTATAATCTTACCACTGGGGAGGCCAGTCTGGGTAATATAGTATTACAGGCTACCCTGGGCTGGAGTGTGAGACTTCGTATCAAAACAACACCAAGAAATAAGCAAACAAGTAAGGAAAATGACTAGCCACTTGCCAGCAGAAGAGATAAAATTTGCTGACATTTCATTGGTGCACAGGTTCTTCCCCTAAGCAGTGACTTGCTCTGTCAGTGTTACTAAAAGAGGACTCAGGGTGTGGTGCACAAAAAGACAAGTTTAAATAATCATATCTCCAAAATTGGCTTGAGGAGAAGTAACACCAGAGGTGGGGAAGAGGAAACAAAGCCCCTGAATTAGGGAACCAGAATACTACTTTCTTAACATGAATTTTTCTTACTGATTCTTCATTTTTTCTTTTTTTCCTTCATCCAAAAATAATGTATGTGATCAAAATACATAATATGGTTTTGCTCCAAGGCCACCATTCCTGTAAGGCTTTTTAAATTTATTTTCTTCTGTTTCACATAGCATCATCTTTGAATATTTTGTCTAAGTAATGCTTGTTCTTTACTAGCTGTACCTGCCTACCACAAAGCCAGTTTTACTGTATCCCAAGCACCTCCATAAATCTTCCAGGGGAAGGGGGTACAGAGCGAGTGAGCATGACTGTCCTGTTCAGGGTAAGTTGTTCATCGTAATAAGCCACTGAATTTGGGGGAGAGATGCTACATACAATATAACCACAACCTCTCCTCGTGGCCTCTCTGACCTCAGAGAGTAATAGCTATTTACTGTCTATCACTGAAATATGGAGGCTACCCTATTTGCAACAAAGCACAAGGGTACCTGCCAAAATGAAATGCAAAGGGGCAGTAAATGAGCTTTTCAGAGCATGAAGTTGGTTTCCACAACGTCTGTAGACCCAAACACAAGTGCTCAACAAAAACCGGGCAGATCTACTCTTGGATATGTTCCTTAAAGCCTGTTACTCTGAAATCTGTCCATGAGCAAGTTTCCTTTGACCTTAGTAAGCGTTTGGTCCCACTCGGCCTCTCGGGATTTTCACCTAGAAAGGCTGCTCCCTGGCAATGACCCACCACCCCCGGATCCCCACACAAAGTGTTCTCCAATCCTCAATCTCTGACTGCTGAGGCCTCCACCCAGGGGTCAGGACACTCAAGATCAGGCCGTCGTCCAAGGGCAGACCCTCAGGGAACAAGGCCATGGATGGGGCAAATGTAGCAGCAGATAGAAAGGCCTGGAACGGAGACCCAACCAGAACCCGGAGGACCCACAGGGGCCTCGCTCACCTCTGGCCGGCTGCGCTTTTGCAGCAAGTGCTCCAGGTAGAGGTCAGAGAGCGCGGTGCGCATGCTGCTCCCACCCTCGCCTTCGCTCGACTTGAGCGTCATCTTGCAGGAGCAGAGACACCGAGACGCAAGAGCCGCAGTGCCTAGAGCCTGGGGGCCGAGGCCTGCTGGGAGGCGTGGGAGACGGAGGCGGCGGAGGTGGCGGAGGCGGAGGAGGCGGCGAAGACCGCAGGGACCCGAAGCGGCTGCGCCTGCCACCACCCCGCAGGCTGCGCGCCAGGAGGGCGGGGCGGAGCCGTACCCACGCCCCACCTACTTCCCTCCCTCGTCCCGCCCCTAGTCCCACCCACGCCTTGACTTTCCTCACGCCCAGCGATTGGAGAAGGCGCCACTTTGGGTTAGAAAAAGGCTCGGCTTTCCCCGCGCCTCTGGGGGCTAAGGTGGGATGCGCAGGCTGCATTCCTAAAGGATGGGAATCGGGAACGGTGCCCCAATCTCGCGCTTATCCTCTCGGCCAGAGTGCAGCGGGGCTGTAGCACCGAAATGTCCAGCTGCTACTTCTGCTGATCCTTTACGCTCAGAGCCGCAACAACACAGGGCCCCTGTTCCTAGCTGAGGCGATACGAATGGTTGGTACATCCAGAAAAATCCAGGATGTCAGGAATCAGCCGGCTGCCCCGTAGATTTTGAAGAATGTAGGAGGTTGGCGAACTTCAGGCACTTAAATCAGTGCAGTCACAAGGCCAGAGCACCTTCCCAGGTTTGGATATTGTGAAAAATGCCTTTAGGCGCCTGTGCTGCTGGTACCATCATTTACATTAATGTATGCTGTTCAGCGATGAAAGGCAAGATTGCCTTCAAGAGCAAACAGGTTTTACTTACCTTAGGGCAGCTATCCTGTTGTTAGTGCCACACAATTTTTAGGGATCTTAGAGAAGGATCCCTTAACATCCAAAGCCCTGGAGACCAGAAACTGCAGTCATACTAATGAAAGGCTTTCTGAGCAAAAGGAATGTTTTCTAGGCCTAAGGGCTCCTAGGCCTCTGTCCTAAAACCTGAACTCACATGATTGATAAATTCTTTCCCCACAGAGGAACTACATGGGGAGAGAGATAGAGAAAGGGAGAGGGAGAAAGGGAGTGATTGATAGAGGGAGGAAGAGAGAGAGGGATGGAAGGAGGGAGGAAGGGGGAGAGAGAAAGGAGAGAGTTGTGCATCCCTACATTGAGCAATGTTATAGAATAGACAACCAAGGAACACACCTGTGCACATGTACAACTGAATCAAATGATAAAAGTAACTAGGTAAGTAAAGATGGCCTTTTAGTAACTGAACCTGGAACTGGATAAGATGAAACTGGAACACTGCTTCATGTGATATGCAAAATAATAATCTATTCCAGATGGAATAAAGACTTAAATGTCAAAAACATACCTTAACATTTTTGATAGAAAATATACACAAAGAACTTTGAGATTTTTGCATAAAGATGTCTTAATGCCAATAAGCTATTGACTGTAAAACAGGATAGTTATCACTTTGACTTTATTAACATTAAGAACTTTTACTCATCAAAAAAATACCATAAGGGCTGGAAATGTAGCACAGTTTGTGGACTACTTACCTACATGAAGCCTAAGATACCCAAGACCTTGTCTCATAAAGAAATAAATGGGAGCTAAAGAGATGGCTCCACAGTTAAGAGCACTGGTTGTTCTTGCAGAGGATCCACTTTCCGTTCCCAGCACCCACATGGTGGCTAACAATCATCTGTAACTACAGCTCCAGGGAACTGGATGCCCTCTTCGGTTCCCCAGGGACATTGTACAACATGGCTGAACTTACATACATTCATGCAAAATACTCATACACATAAAATAAATAGAACAAAAATTTTAATAAATAAGGGGGGAGAGAGAGAGAGAGAGAGAGAGAGAGAGAGAGAGAGAACTAGGCATAGTGGAACATGTCTGTAATCTCAGTGTTTGGCTGGTACTTCAAGGCCAGCCTCAGCTGCATGGTGAGTTGGAAGCCAGCCTGTGCAACATGAGACCCTGTCTCAAAACAAAATAAATATGCAATAAGGGAAGGGGAGAGATGGTTCAGTGGTGGTATCACTTACTTATTGACCATGAAGACCTGAGTTTGAATTCCCAGCACCCACATAAAAAGCTGTGCATGGCTGCACATGCCTGTAACCCTAGTGTTGTGGGAGCAGAGACAATATCACTGGGGCATGCTGGCTGCCAGCACGACTCCAGATTTACTGAGAGACCCTGTCTTGAGAAAAATGGGTGGAAAGTGATAGAGCAGGACACGAGGCCCTCCTCTGCTCTCTGCATGTGCATGGGTGTGCACACCTCTCTCTCTCTCTCTCTCTCTCTCTCTCTCTCTCAGATGCACACACACACAAGAAAATCAATAATAAATATTACAAAAAGGACTTGATGTACTTTAGCAGAAAATATTTTCAATGTACAGAAGTGACAAAGGATTCCCATTATGAGTGTGTAAAAGTGTTATACAGCACTATCCTCTAAGCCAAACAGCTGCCATGAGTTTAACTGTGCTTGCAAAAGATTATAACAGCTGGGCTTGTTGACTGTTGACCTTCCTTCACAGAAGTAGGGGGTAGGATGGATCATCTGAGTATCTAGTCACTCCTCCCAACTAGTTATATGCAACTCTGCCCTAATCACATGTGGCTTTGCGGTCCCCTAATGTATATAGACTGTTGAAGGTTAACAGAATGGGGCCCCATCTACGTGGCTATGGAGAAGCCATATGGGGTGAAGACTTTCCATTTTGGCTGATTTGGGGGCATCCACACTGCTGTCAGTAACCCCTCACACACTCTAAGCTCAATAAATTTGTTGGTTCCCCAGGGGGATCTTTGGTGGAATCAAACTTTGGTTTCTCATTGGGACCTTAGAAGGATGGAGTGGAGATACCATAGCAACAAAAGAACTACAAATTAATAAGGAAAGCACAATCCAGGCTGGACGTGGTGGCACACACCCTTAATCCCAGGACTCAGGAGGCAGAGGCAAGTGGATCTCTGTGATTGAGGCCAGTCCAGTCTACATAGTGAGTTCCAGGCCAACCAGGGCAAAAGAAACCCCCAAACAAACAACCAAAACCCAAACCCAAACCCAAAAACAAAAACCCCACAAAAACCAAAACGACAACAAACTAAACACACAAGCCCACAGAGAAAAACACATTCCAGTAAAACACTGAACAAAGGATATGAACAAACATTTCACTATGGACGAAGCAAGCACAGCAGAGCGAGAGCAAGAGTGAGTGAGCGAGAGAGAGAGAGAGAGGTCAACATCATTAGGATGGATGGAATGCAGACTATAATGAAATGCTGTCGTACTCTCATTGGATTAGCATATTTTAAAAAATCTAACAGGGACTGGAAAGATGGCTCAGTGTTAAGAGCACTGGCTGCTCTTGCAGAGGACCTGGGTTCGAATCCCAGCACCCACATGGTGGCTTAACAACCATTCATAACTCTAGTTCCAGGGGAATCCAACACCCTCTTCTGATTTCATGGGCATTGCACGACATGGGTGCACTTACACACATGCAGGCAATACACTCATACATGTAAAATAAAAATAATAAAATCTTTTTTAAAAAGCACTGAATGCTCCCCCAAAGGACTCGTGTTCAGTTCCTAAAACCCACATGGAGGCAAACAACAGTCTGTAACTCCAGTTCTGGGGGATCCAACACCCTCTTCTGGCCTTTGCAGGCCTTGTATTATACATGCATTCTTACATACAGGCAAAATATTCATATACATAAAATAAAATAAATAATTCTAACAATTTTAACTGCTAGAGAGCATGTCAATCCATATAGTTTTGACCATTGCTAGTGAGAGTCTAAATTAGTACTGCTAATTAGGAAAACAGCTTCCAATTATCTCTCTCTTTTTTGTTTATTGTCTTTTTGAGACATAGTCTCCCCATAGCCCCAGCTGGCTTGGAGCTCATTATGTAAACCAGGCTGGCCTTGATCTCACAGAGATCCTCCTGTCTCTGCCTCCCAAGTGCTGGGAGGCATGCACCACCACTCCTGGCCCATTGTGTCTTAAAGTTAAACATGAATCTACTCTCTGAGCCCACAACTCTACTACTAGAGAGAACAACTATATAATTCATTCTGTAACTTTCTAGATCCCCTACACACTGCGAAATACTCAGGACAAAAGGTGCATTTTTCAGTAGTGCAAACATGTTTTGTGTGTGAGGTTGTGTTTTCTAATGGACTCAGGCTAAGAAAACAGGTGTTGGAAATGAGGGTAGACCTCTGGGATAAAATTTGAGATCAACTCTGTTGAATTAGAGGTCCTGGTTTATACAGTCCAGAGTGGAAAATGCAGTTCCTCTATGGTTACAATAAAGATTCCACAGAACTGGGAACTGTGATCCTCTGAAGAAGATAGTCACTGACAGACTATCTAATTTTCTTTATGTCCGTTAGAATGACATAATGAACTGAACTCCACAAGTAGCTGTGGTTACTATTCTATAACTAAGGCAGTGAAAAAAAATATAAAATCACGAGTATTTTTGGTGTTTCCATGCCCAATTAAAACTGTAAACAGGGTGCTGGAGAGATGGCTTATTGGTTAAGAGCACTGGATGCTCTTGCAGAGGACAAAGGTTCAGTTCCCAGCACTCACATGGTGGCTAACAACTGTCCATAGCTCCAGTTCCAGGCGGACCTGATACCCTCTTCTGACTTTAGCACATTGCATGCATGTGGTACACTTACACACATGCGTGCAAAGCACTCATACACATAAAATAAAAATAAATCATTAAAAATTAAAAATAAACTGTAAAACAGGAAAATTCTAGGCAATTAAGAGCTCAGATCCATAGTGGATGAAGACTGGGTGATCGTAACAGAAAGTCAACTTGGTCTGTTGAAGGACTGGCTATGAAGGAAGGATATGTATATGGATAATGGAAGAGGGAGATGATAGTGACTATTGCTTCCAATTCTAGTATATGCTTCAACAGCTGAGGCCATAGTGAGGCATACTGACCCTTTGAAAGTCTTAGGAGATTGCCACCATATTGAAGGATTGGAGCTCCACAAAAAGACAGTGTCAAATGGTAGTGATTTCCATACAAATAGTGTGATGATAACTATGTGATCAAACAGCCAGTAGTATTTTCTTGGAATGTTCATAGATATCATGACTTTTCTTTTTTCTCTGACTCACTTTCCTTCCCCTCTGACTTTTGAA